TTTTTTTTTTTTTTTTTTTCTATAAATTGGTCCTCTTACAAGTGACAAAGACTATAAGACTCGTGGAAACCTTTTATGAATATATTATGTGCATTATACGAAACGTTCTCAAATTTCGTTGAAACTATAACGAGACGGGATTAACGTGATTATATATCGGTGAAACTTGGAACAAACGTTAATATGTCATTAATGTTAATAGTATTTACTTGTAAAATTAGCAACTAGCGTGATGATATATAATGTAATTGCAAGTGTAAAGTAAGGTATAATTTTATATTATGATATTAATATTTATTATATTATTTTAATATTAACAGCATAACAAGCGGAATGTTTATAAATTTGTAAATTTACAAATATGATATTTGGTGTTTCACAAAGACGTCTGACAGATTAGTACAGCTTCAATAACAGCAAATATCCAATAAAATTAAATACTAATATAACAGACTATTTCTGTCAATTTTCGATATTATTTTTTCTAACTGTATTTCTTTTTTCGTGCCCTTTCACGTTGCTGCAGCAGATACGTAAAATGTCAAACATTCACCACGTCGATATAATAACGTATGTAACACCAGTGTAACAATTGAGGAAAACCGAGCATTCTTTTAACTTTATAATAAATCTAACATTGGCATTACATTCACGTTTCTCATTCATTTAAAAAAAGAAAAAAACATGATACAAAAATTGCAAGAGGAAGAAATTGTATTTTCTATAGATTTCAATATCAATAATACTAAAAATTAAATTTCAAAATTTATAATTTCGTAAATAATGGAAAGATGCATTGCTATATTATATTTACAATTCCCTAGATAATACATGAAAAGAACCAGCTCAAGATACCCAAGTTTCCACATCCCATTGGAAAATTCAAGATCGAATTTTAAAATATCAAACAATCTAATCGAAACCCCATGCCCCCTTTTTCACCAGTTAAATCGCCCGAATAATATTCACGAATCGAACACTCGTACCGATAGAAATATTCCCATCGTATCCCCGGGTTTCCAGTCACCGATAGAGGCCGGCGAAATCGAGAGAGAATGAGTAAGAGAGAGCGCGCGCGCGCGAGAGAGAGAGAGGGAGGGAGAAACAGTAAATCAGAACTGTGACGGTGGCTAAATGGATTCGAGAAATTCCAGTTAGGTGGGACAGAAATGTTGGTCATACTAACCAGACCAAATATCCAGGCTATCCGACCAGTCGATCCGCAAGCCGTGAATATTGCTGCTTGGCAGCCATCCTGACAGGGACACTTTTTCCATTTTCATTTTCCACGGGCCATGCCAAATCTGCGACTGACCTACTCAACCAACCAACGTTGCTTTGGACGAAGGCAATTTTCCAAGGTGACCTGACGATAATTGTCTCTGGACGTAGAAAACTCGGTTGGGAGTATTAAGAGAGTGACAAATTGCCGTCATAAAGCGCCGTTGGGCGCGTGTTCAAGAACAGAGAAAGATAATGTGTGCTTGGTTTAAAGAGGAGCAGAAGAAATTGAATCTCTGATGTACGATCGAAACACGAAATACGAATCGAAGACTTGGCTGATTGATTAAGTGCGTTGAAAGCAGAGGAATCGATTGTCTGCGACTGTGAAAAATCCTTTGGAAGCTCGATGTTATTTTGTGAGTAGAATTGATTCTTGATATTTAGCGTGAAACAGTGTTGGCTGGATTTTGAGTATCGAAATTTGATGCAATATATTCAAAAATTTTGAGAAGCAGTTACGTTACGTTCGAGTTGGCCGTGGCTCTGGAGCAAAATGTTTCGAAATTTTCCCACGACACCCATAAATATGACGAACTTCGAATTCCTACACTTCCCAAATTTCCCATAAATCCATAAATCCGATGAATTTTTAATTCTCATGCTTCGAAATCTCCTGCAAATTCTAAACCTGTGCTTCCAAATTTTCGCACAAATCTACTGAACGCCTCGAGATTTCCCATCAATCCACAAACCTGATAGATTCTAAATTTCCGTGCTGAATTTCCCACAAAATCCATAAATCTGTTTTAAAAAAATATATATAACTGATCCAATTGTCCAATGTGCCTCTATTTACCAGGGAAAGAAATCTTGAAAACTGCAGAGGAAGAACCAATAAAAAAGATATATCTAGGTGTATAAAATGGGAGGATAGGGTGAGCAAAGCAGGACATTCAATACGGTCTCGAAGTATACAGTAATAAATGGCTTTAGCCTTTCGGAGGTGTTACCAGAGGGCTTTCCAGTGAGCGATGATCGCGTTAACCTCGGGTAATTGAACCCTTCTTCCCTCTATCGTGCTTCCCAACAGTGCAGCTCCTGTACCTCGTCCTTTCGAGTCTACTTTCTCGGATATCGTGTGTTTAGATACGCCTCGGTCCCCGGTTGTCGTCTCTCCGGTAATCATCGTGAGAATGCCTTGAAAGCTTCTTGAACAACGGCGCAACACGTCTGCACGGCGAGAGGGCACACAGGTTCATTGAAAGAAGAGAATCGACAAAGCTTCCTCCGGTTATTTAGGGAAGCGTTCTCTCCGGTTTTCGAAACTCCATGAAAATATAATGAACGCCCGATGAGGCATTCTGCCGCTATTTCGAACGAAGTGATCTTTATCTAGTGAAACAGAACCGCGGAGAAGGCCACAACAGGTGGGATCAGAAAGTCGACGTGAAAGGATCATGATTTAATTCTATTCTGAATTACTCGGTTCTTCTTATCTTCGTATTTTCATAACAAAAGTACAGTATTCCACGACAGACGTATATTTTTATGACTCGTGTTGCTTGGAAATCACTTAGAAAAAGGGATTCACAGATTTGGCATCTGTATTCTTACTTATTCTGTGATTTGAAGATTGAAAAGTTTATATTTGAGTTGGAAGATTCTCGATTTCTATTAATGATATATTTAGATCGAAGCGTTGTTCTTGGAAAATTCCTTCAAATAAATTAGTTTAAATAATCGTCTATCTAAGTCTGCTCTATTGAGAATTTTATATTTAAATATTGGAATAATAGAAGTGTGAGACTTTGCTTCGACGACTATCTCGGTTTCAACAATTTCAAAATTCAAATCAAATGCATCTTTCGTTTAAATTAATTAGATGTTCGACTGAAACATTCTATAACACCAATTTCCTTCTTGAACGTAGTTAATTAATAACTGTCATTTAATAGTGATGTATGCCGAAATTATATTTTGTAAGCATCGATTTAATGTATTTTTCTTGCATTTGAGTTAATTCAATATTCAATTTATAATATTCGATTATATATAAGTATCTATGCATATTAAATATTATTTTCTGAAAGTTTGATCTCATCACACCAATACTATTTATTAAATTTTCTCCTGTCTTAATCCTAACAACGTTAAAAAGAAACCATTTCAAAGATCACGTTGAAGAAGCATATTAAATTCATTTTTCATTAGATTTCAACAGTAGTCGGATCAAGTGCGAAGTTGTTACTCACGATCTTATGATGAAGATGCTGAAGTTCCCTCTCGGTGATACGTCTCCGAGACAATTCGCGTTGCTCCCTCCTGTATTGGCTGTACTTGTAGAAAAGATACATGCCCGGAAGCGCGAGGACGACCAACGGCTTCATCAGGCTAGCCCTTCCGCTTCCACTGCGTACACGAGGCTCTGGGGGCTCGTCAAGGTCCTCCAGTTGGCCGGCACCCTCCGCCAAAGCTGGCACCACCGGCATGATTAATTATCTGGAACAAGAGCGAGAACCGCGAGTGAAACTCTCGGGAAAAATTCATTTAATCGTTCGGCTATCAGGCTGTTCAGGAATTTCGGAGAGAAGTCGTAACTTGCTGGATACAAAGTTATTGTGACTGAAACGTTACAAAATTTTTGAAACTGGTGCTTTCTGATTCACTTTCGTCGCCCCTGAATTCTATATATGTATATATGAGGATTCCAAAGATAAGAAATTCTTAGAACAGTGAAACAAACAGTAAATCGAATACTGCTAAAAAGACCAAGATATTTTGTGTCAAATTTTGTTACCAGATGATCTAAACTGGATCTTAAATTTGAACCATTATACGAATGTAGAAAATGAATTTGTCCGCAACGAATTGTATAAAATATATAATACAAATACTTTGATCAGCAGTTTTCACTATATTCTATGTATAATATATTTAGCACGTAAAACACAAAATGTTCGATCCTGCTGACAAACGTTACTACATTGATACATATTTCTCGACGCGCCAATAATTTAGTAACCCTCAACATTGTCACAAATAAATATCACATTGAATTTAATTATCGTCGTATAACATCGTCCTAATTTTTGATTTTGCCAACGCAGAACAGAACCGGTTCCTTCGAGTTGGTCTAATTAATTCGACACTGGCGCGCGCTCGCATTGTGAAACACGCGTCAAAGGGAAATCGTTTCGGCGCTGATTAATTAACGACATCGCATCCGATTATTGCCGTGTCGGACAATAGCCAGCTGCCGGCATGTTGTGCTTCATTGAGGATATTGAAACGATGTGGCTACCGTTTTCAATTGGCCGGAATGCACTTGACAGACGAACGTAGTAGTAGCACACCAAGTCTCATAATGGATCATTTGTTCAAGACGTTTAATTAATGGTAACGCTAGTTTTTTTTTCTCGAGAATTTCCGTGGACACAGCGACTCGCGAAAATGTACGTCCGAGAATCTCTTTTTCAAAAGGTGGACGTGTACTCACGGGAAAGAAGATGTACCGTGCAAAGAAAGGATTGTGTAAAGAAGATTTTATTATATTTACAGGTGTATAAGAAAGATGACAAATCGACGAACTTGAGGGAGACTCGAACAGTCACAATTTAAAGCGTCATAGATGATAATAAATGATAGGAAAAGAGATTCGAATAAAAATTCTAAACTAAGTTAAGTATTCTCTGAAGGACGCACGTAAAATATCTCGAAATTTGAATTTTCGAAGCTTGAAATATTTATCAGAGAAAATTAGTGCCTACATTGATAAACTTCGTTGAAATCGTGGAGATGTATCGAGTCTTTTCGAATTATTTTCAATAAATGTAAGACTGATAGTTATAAAATGCTATTACGGCGGTTGCAACGAAAAATTTCAAATTCTAGTGTTTTGTTTCAATTTCTCCGACAATCGAAACAGCTAGAAATTTAATAAAAAATTGAACATATGAAAACTATAGACAACAATTGGACAATTTCTAACTATATTTAATTGCTATTTACCTACATTTATTAATACATATTGTTCAATTATATTTCGATTCATTTTGACTCTTACAGCTCCACATTTAATTAGACGTTTCCTACCAACGTTGAAAACTTCCACATGGAGTTCGCCAGCTGTGAAAAGAACTCGCTGGATACTATGCGCAGTCCTCGGGAATAATTCTTTATAAAGTGATTGGAATTTTTATACGTTTCGTAAAGAATTTCAATGTACTGATAAAAGTTCAGCAGGCGAACCGGGAGAGTTCTAGGTCAGCGAGAGATGACTATTGGGTATTGGTTTTCCATCAAATCGTTTTTTACAGTCCCACGTCCCTTGTCATCCGTATTTCTTCACTCGTTTCCCGATATTTATAATCCTTGTTAATGTCTTCCTGAAACATGTGCAACGAAACTAGCTCTCAGGTGATCAGAATGAGAGTGAAAAAAAAAAGAGAAAGAAAAAAGAAAAAAAATACGTCAATGATTTAGCCATTTCTTTTGTAACGCTTTGATTATTGCAAAAAAAAATTAAAATTTTTCGTCAGAATTACTTGGTTTTTCCTAACTATCATCGAAATATTTCTAACAAAAAATTTACTAGTTCATTCATCGAAATTAATTTACCCTAGTAAAAATTTATTCCAAGTTCTCAATAATTTATTTTAATAATATTCTTCTCTAATATTAGGTATTCGTAATATGTTAAATGTTAAATTATTTAAAAAAATTCTTATAATTTTTAAATGTTTATAATTGAAATATTGGAAACAATGGTTGGATATTAATGATTCGTTCCAGACTGAAGCAATTACCAAGACGCTGATTACAATGCATCCAATAACTATTATTTAACAACATTTTTAAAATCGCGAAATTCTAATTGATTTCACACACTTGTGAAATTGTAACATGTCACGTACGACTACTAATCTAATATCAACACTTCATATTGTTTCAACGACGTCTTGATTATTTTTCCGGTTCGGCAGGATCTGTCTGTCGACTGGACAATATTCTGACGGATTTCCGTGACTTCAATGAAATTTCGTAATATGCTAGCCGGTCGTTCACCGGCTATATTTAATTCAGCCGTCTACTTGCCGTGCTATTCTTAACCAACTGCTCTAGAAATACGCGAGCTGTTACGCCACCCGTCGCTAGGTCATGCACCTCTTGTTCGTTGTAATTTGCACCTGAGATGCTGTGTTATTTGTGTCTCTATCTCTGGTGGCTTATAGAAATCGTCGTGATACCTTGAAATTCAGAATTGTAATGTAATACCTGTCGAGTCACGGTATCATCGATTGATTCAACAACACTGACAATTATGTTTTAATGGAGCTTGAAATAAAAGCGTAAGATATTAAGAGATATTAGAAGTCAGAGGGATCGATTCCAATTTTTTTTTTATTAATTCCTTAAGTTCAGTAGAAATATATATGGAAGAATAGATATAGAGAATTAATATTAAATTTTTTTAAAAAATCTACATGATAAGATTCACCATGTTAAAAGTTCAGAAAACAACAAATTTTTATTTTCAGGAATTTCATTTTGATTTTTATTTGTCATCAGAAGATAAATTTTCACAAGTAATAA